ACGAAAGATGCAATTGCATGGATAGGTTCTTCTTTGTAACAAGTGATCCTTGGTTGGATTGAGATTTGTTTCTAAAAGTATCAGGTAATTGAAAAAAAAGGAAAAGAAAACACGAAAGAAATCAATAAAAAAAAAATTACTTACATGACGTATTTCTGGTATAAAATACAGATGATTTACATTACAGATTGTGGTTTGATTGTAGTACATCATTTTTTCATATTGTTCAGTTGTAATTGCTTTACGAAGAAATAAAGTACGGAGTGTTTTAACGACTTGATTACACATTGTAATTAGAGTATGTTGAACATGATTGTTTGATGATGAAGTTTCTGAATTCATAGATCCAATCAATTGAAAAATAGGATTCTCTTCCATGTATTTCTTCACCTTGTCTTTCCATTGATCTTCAGAACAAATGTATAAGATATTCGTTTCCTTGATTGTTCGTATGATAATTTTCATTCTATTTAAACCTGATTGAATGGTTCGACAACTGGATTTTTCTTTCAATGTTCTAGCTAATATAAAAGTATTTTCTGTATTGTTATTTTCTTGCCGACGATCTTCATGTATGTTTATTTTTACTGATAACGAAATAGGATTGTTATTGTGTTCCTTCATTTTTTTCACTCGTCATTCCCTTGAAATAATTGAATGTCTCGTCGTTGTTATACCAAAAGACTCTTTATTAATCTACAACAAAAAAATAAGATGGAAAAATGACATGAATAAAGAGGATTACAAAATAGGCCAATTCAGATTGTTAATGAGTATGATCCGTTATTCTGGTATCTTCCGCTTAAGTCAACTGGTAGAAGTAAGTTATATCTGAAAAAGTAATAATAATAATAATAATAGTAATAATAATAATAACAAGAACAACAACAGATATTCACATTAAAATCAGCTAGAGGAAGATGAAGTCATTTTTTAATTAAGAAAATGCTATCTACATTTTGTATACATCGAAGATGGTAGAGAGATATGAATGAAACACAATCGTAGAATCAATGATTACATCTAAATGCTTTTTTTTGCGTAATGTTTATAGTTTTATTGAACAATGTTATCAATTGTGATTTGAGATTGCCTGTCTTTATTCTATGAACGTGGCCATCGATATTGGATTGTTTGTCGTTGACATCGTTTGATTTTAGCTTTTTTTAGTCCTTGATTATAATTAAACACATTTCGACGAAGAGAATCGTAAGCCGATTGATCATAATATGCTTCACCATAGTGAATCTTATTTAGTTCAGTTGCATTGAATTCTTTAAGAAATCTTTCAAATTTATTTTTGAAAAAATTCTTTTCGAATCTGTTATATTGAAATGATAATTGAATATCTTCGAGTTCGTTTGCAAAGTCAGACACAATTGCATAGCATTGTATTGCTCGAATAAGAACTGCTCGGGGTAATGTAGAATAGTCATGTGATTGATGACCGAATACATAAGGCAATGAATATGGATCAGTGTTTAAATCATGAGCAACTTGAAATTTCAAATTGCCATCTATATGACTGATGTTGACATCGAGATAATTGATATTGTCATTAATGTTTATTGCCATTTTCATATCAGGATATGGTCTATTAATTGTATTGAGTAGATCATTAAATTTATCTTTTGATTCATTCCACGTAAAGAATATCTCATCGAAACATCTATGGTATAGTAGTTGTACAATAAGAGAAAGAAACATAATAAAAATATTAGTATTACTTACCTGCCATAGATTTCATTTTTCTTGTCTAAATTTGCTACTAACTCTTGTTGCCAATCATATATGTAGATGTTCGCTAATAGTGTTGTCAATGGTGAATTAAAACTACTTCCTCGAATTTGTTGATAGAGTTTATTTTCATAGAGAATATATTGATTTTCAAGAAAAAGTCGAACAAGATCAATGATCGATTGTATAAGTATGCCTTGAATTCGTCCATCTATTATATATTTATGAAGAAAACGTTGTAATGCTTCAACCGTGGGTTCATATGGAAAGATAGTGCATAAATCATGGATATATAAATTGACAAATAGAGTTTTTGATTGAAGAAAACCTTTCTTGTTATATTCCTCCACAGCATCGATGACATCAGCACTTGTATTGAATGTCTTCAAGTGAGTTGCTCGATCATAAATAGGTTGAAGAAGATGAGTGAGAAAGCGAGAAATTTTCATTGTTAAACCATGACGACAATTCGTCACGGGATGAAATGGAACATTTTCCTACATTGAGAAATAGATCATCAAATAAAAAGAGATTCGAATTGTGCTCTACTTTGCGTGTATTAGGTAGAAAATAAAGTGAATCCAGTCGTCTTCCATTTAGATTCGCTTTCATCTTTTTCCTTTGTAAAAGTGTAATCGATTGATTATTTAATAAATTATTCAATATAAATGTTATTCGTTTGTCCATAATATTTAAATACTCTTCTTCAATATTATATTGATTTGTGTAATTGAATTCCATGATGAACGAATAAGCACCTGTATTTATCATATGTTGAAGTACTTTGTGTTGCATTTCAGTGATGTCACATGAATAATACGCATATGTATTAAATGTTTTTAATAATAGATGATTTTTCTCTGCAAATTGTTTTCGAATAAAGTCAATATCGTTTCTTCGTTTGATTAGATACAACGAACGTCCATTGGTTTTATATCCACCTATATGAATTATTTTTTCATCTTCAGTTTCATTTTCATCAACGTCATTCATCCATGGAATAACGATATCGATTGATTGATTAATTTCATCAACCATTTTTGTTATCAAGTACGCTGAGATAAAGCGAGTAAAAAATCTGCAAAATAAATAAATCAAGATAAAATCTAGAAACTATTTTTGATTAAAAAGAAGACTTTTCTAGAGAAAACAAAAAAAAAGAAATTCATTAAGAAACAATAAATCAATTATATACAGTAGTGATTGTCTATGTTGCTTGCCATAGATTTATCCATATCTAGAATTAAAAATTTATTCAATAAAGAAAAATGAAAAAGTCATCGATACACATCGTCGTTTTCATTGTTTGGTGGTGACGTCAATTGATGATAGGATGGCTTTTATTTCTTTTGATAATTACTCATTCAAAATGGAATTTTTTTTTCATCTAATGTTACTCCATGGAAATCATGAATGATATCTGAGAAAGACGATCTAGTAAAATATTAGCCATCATGTAATGTGCATTATTATCTTTACTGAAAGATAGTCTTGCCAGTTTTAAGTTAGTTTGTTTTCGAAAATGTTCGAATATCTGTATCGTAGTATATCTATGTTTATCAAAACACGAAGAGATGATGCAAGGAAAAACTGTTTGATATTGACAAAAAAATCTAGGGTCGATTCAATTGTTGATGTAAAAATTCAAGTTTTTCCTAAAGTTCTTGATGAATGAGTTGCTCAGTATTTTGTTCTTGTTGTTCTTCTTCTTGCAATTGTTGTGCCATATCAATTTGACGTGTCTGTTCAATTTCGTCTTGTATCAATGCTATTTGTTCGAGAACAGCAAATCCTTCCAATTCGTTCAATTGTTCTTGTTGCAATCGTTCTCTTGGATCCGTTGTTTCCCGATCATACGCTTCCAAGAGACTCTCCTGATAATCTTGGTCACTATATTCCTCGCCAGAATTTGAAATTCGCCATGTACTATACAAATGCCTTGGTTCTCTTTTTTCTTCTTCTTCTTCTTGTTCCCGTTGCTGTCGACTTTCCAGCCATCGATCGAATCGTTGTTATCTTCGGCGTCGTCCTTGTTGCCAATACTGCTGCTGCTGTTGTTGTCGTTGTCGCTGTTGCTGTTGATCTTGCTGCCATCGCTGGGCTTGACGCCGTTCCCGTCTTCGTTGGTATTGCAGTTGTCGTCGTCGTCGTCGTCAATCTTCTTGACTTCGTGTTCTGACAGATTGTTCTTGATGGTGAGAAATCAATGGAATTTGACTTGGAATCATATTGGTCGGGTTCAGTTCCACCAATGGTTCATTCGTCGGTACTATTCCCACAGATACTAATTGATTAACATTGAATTCGTTGTCCTTATTTTGAATCAAGGATTCTAATGGAGTACAACCCAATTTGACTATTGTTTGTACTCATTCTAAAGTGCCACTGTGCAATCACAGCAAAAATGAAACAAAAACAAAAACAAAGATTTGATATTGAACTATGACGCTTCTGTACCTGGAAGACTTGCCAATACTTACATGGATTTGTTTGAATTTGTTTTTGCTCTTGTGATTCAAAAATAATAGTAGTCTATCATAAGAAATAAGATGATGTGTATCTAAAATACGGCCGAGAGAACAATAATGCATTCGTGAATAAAGGAGCAGATGAGTAAGAAACGAAAAAGATTTCGATGGTTTTTTTTTGACCATGGATAGAAGCGTATAGTCAAACTTGAACACATCATTTGTTTGTATCGCAATGCTTTATGTTTCAGACTTCATTTTTCCCTGTTTTCTCCAGTAGTCACCCACACTGATAGGCAACAAAATACATATATATATATATATATACGCTTAAATGTGGAAACCAATACCATGTTCATGTTTGATCTTCTGTACTACAATCACGATCAATAGTCGTCCTTATTAGCGTTGATAACCATGTAAATGTCCTAGTGGGTGGGGGTGTATATATATGTGTGTAACTACCAAAATATGAGACATTTCAATGTTGTTCAATAGCACAGTCTCATTATAGGATTTTCTGTTGTAATTTCATGTGGAGAAATATTAAAACAAGATCTACTACAATGATCCACCAAAATACTTTTGACAGATTTCATTTTGATTGCTTTATATGATCAACAAAATGTAAGCATTGAATCATTTCATACATAGCACTATGTTAGAAGTCTCGATGATTTTCGTTCTATTAAACAAAATAGCGACTAGTAGATACATTCATAGCTATGCTTATATGTTCCTCTAATGGTCAATTATTGAGTACGATGAAATCTTATCATTGTTCTATCATAAATAGTATCATCAAGTAATATTATATAATTTGACTCCAAAACAAAAAGTATTTTTTAGAATAATCTGATCAAATTGTATGATTTGATTCAATGTTGAACATTCTTATTTCTTATCTTTAAATCCATCACACATTGACTAGATCTAGAATAAATTTATTTATATCAAACTTACAAGATGAATTCAACTAAAAGAGTACTCTTCCAAGTTATAAGGTTCAACTTTCCAGGTTCAAAAAGATCCATATCTTTCTTGATATATGTATCGTTTGTTGAACCTTAAATTGAAGTCAGTTTTCAAGTTTCGCATATATGAAAAGAAATCAGAGATAAAAAGAAAAGGAGAAACGTAACAGAAGTAGAGTGAATCTGTCTTACCGTCATCGTTGATGAATATTGAATGAACAAAATGTTCAGAATGCACGAGCATTTCTAGATGCACGCGCGCGCGCGCGAGAGAGAGAGAGATTGAGAGAATTTTTTTCTGTCAAAATAATCTCTCGCATTGGTCTATGCTATTGGCTATTACTCTCGCATTACTATATAAGAAAAGAAAAGAGAAAAAAATGGAGAGGATCGACACATGATTGGAGAATAGATTATAACAAATAATATTAGAGACGGAATCATATGAAAAGAACGCTTCCAGAATAATAGAGAAGACTGAGAGCGAGGAAAAAACTCAATTACATCGTTCTCTGGAGGTTGCATCAATGGAATGTGTCTGGAAATGGGAAAATGTTTACTAACTAGATTTATTACAGTTCATTCTGTATTAAAATAATATGAAATCATTGAAACTTGCGAATAATTATATCATTTATGACTTAACTATAATGAATTCGTTTTTTCTGAAATCGATTCTACAAGCACAGCTAGCTGAATTTCATTCATTTCTTCCAGTATTTCATCAACATTTGTAATTATTCATCAACAAGATCATCTTATTTTAACTTAACACTCTCGATATTTCATATGACACACAAAAAAAGATTATATGAATCATACTGAGTTCAAAGAGGAATTAAATCAAAGAGTGAATAATCAAAGCCAAGAAAAAAAAAGAAACTCATTGACATTGCGCTTATTGAATCATTATCCAGTGATAATGACTGTAAGTATGGAGAAAAATGTTGATCTCTCCTAATATTTTACTATTATTGCGTAAAAATAAGATAAACTTACAATGAATAGTGAAACATTATTTGCTACCATCATGACGTTTGAAATAAAAATTTTGCAAATTATATATTCGAAAAGAATATCTTCTCCATGTCGTGGAATTGCTTAGTGCAGTACAAGCTACAAAAAAACCTTTACAACTGATATGCTATTCTCTTTCACTAAGAGTGAATTAAATATAGTTCTTGTAATTTTTATCGATTTCAATGAATTATTTTCAATAAAAGAGTTAACATTCTTACATTTCTTATATAGACATAGATTGAACAGATTGCTTAGTTTCTACTTCCAAAAAGTACATTGTAGTATGAACCAGAGATCCTAGATTAGATTGACATTGAAAATAATTCAGTACCAACTCACTGTGGTAGGCATTTTGCTTGGTAAAACATTTCCTAGCCAGCCTTTAAGTAGGTAACATCTAATAAACTTGTTCTATTTCTTTTCTTCCTTGGTACTCTTATCAAAAGAGTACTGAAAGATACATAGAAATATTTCAACACTAAAATCGAAACGTTCAACGATTATATATCACTTCAATGAACTCTTTGTATTCACAAGATGAACCACTCAACGAACAAAAAAAAGTGATAAAGTTAAAAGCATTTGGGCATGTTCAACAATAAATGAGTTTGTAGCTTACCTACTACAATGAAAACACCAAAAACATTGAATAAAAACGTAGATTTTCGTCCGAATAGATCAATCGACGTGATAAACTGTTACACAAACTATCGAAATAATGATAAAATAATCACTCTGTGTTGAATGACGAAATGTATTCTTAATTGCCTGCTAGGCACGGAAACATCAAACGATAGATACAATCATTGACCTCTCCCTAAATAGTTAAACTGGTATCAACTTCACTAATACCAATGTATCACGAATTCCAGTCTGTTAATTTAATTAAGACATTCACATCAAGAGATCTTTGTGAGCTAGAATAGGAAAATTTTGAAAAAAAAAAAACAAAAAGAATTTTCAAATATCAAATATAATAGAGATGAGAGAGAGAGATAGTCGGTAATAGAGACAGTTTGGATAAAGGACTAAAACAGTATGTGATAAAAACGGTTTAGCAAGTTGAAATATAGTTCGTCATTAGAAGAATTGGTTTCATGTGTAAGTAGAAAAAGAAAGCGTCAGTACCTTTCATGAAACATGATCAATAAAGTTCAATGCTTTCCAATGTAGGACAACACACAGGGAGGATGGATGCATCAAAATGTTCAGAGATCAAAGAGATAAGTGGACTGAATGATAAGAGAAGAAAAAGGTAAAAGGACTCATTGATCAATACTTAACATATTTCAATTCTTTGAAGTGTAAGACAAGAAAGGGACAAGTAGTAAAAGAAAATAAATAGCCAGTAGTACTCGGTGTTGTAAAGCAAGACATAAAATCAAAACTCTGAGAAGTAACAATATGACAACCTAATGAGGGGAACAATTAGAAGAAGGGTTACGACAACAAAAACCATGATAACCCTAAGATTTGACGATGATATGATTATACGAATTCATAAACGAGTACGAGGGTTACAACATCAAGACGTAATAATCTTTATGAGTACCGAAGGACGATGTGGCGAATCGAT